AAGAAAACTTATTCCATTTGGTTTCACATACATCACTTCGATGTCTGTCCCCTGTGCCACCGTATTCCGTCCAACTCCTAATAGAAGGACAGCTGGTAAAGATGGAGATCGACACCGGTGCATCAGTAACAATTATCAACGATCACGACCTCCTTTAAATGCTTCCTCCGCAATCTTACAAACTTATACAGGTCAACAAATCCCCGTCCTGAGAACCTGTCACGTTCGTGTACAGCATGACTCAAAGGTTGTGTCCCTGTCGATTTTTATCGTTCACAACAAAGGGCCCAATCTCCTTGGCCGAGACTGGTTGAAACAACTGCCCGAACTAATACAGCATATACATAACATTAAAACTGCGGACTTACTGGAACTACTACTGACCCAGTTTGCGCCTGTTTTCGAAGAAAATGTATTAGGAAAACTAGCCAACTTTCAAGTTACACTTAATGTGCGACCAGAGGCACAAATTCGGTTTTTCAAGGCACGCAGTTTGCCGTTCTCCATCAGGCCGAAAGTGGAGGAGGAAGTGCGACGCCTCGAAGAACAAAACGTCATCACGGCAGTGAGACACTCAGACTGGGCAGCACCGATTGTACCCGTCCAGAAACCAGACGGCTCGGTGCGGATTTGTGGAGACTACGAATTGACAATCAACAAAGAGGCCGTAATGGAATATTACCCAATTCCGCGTATTGAGAATCTCTACGCCACATTGGCAGGCGGAGTCAAGTTTTCCAAACTTGACCTAAGTCACGCGTACTTCCAAATAGAACTGCAGGAAGAATCACGGAAGTTTACTACGATAAATACGCACTTGGGGTTATTCGAGTACAATCGTTTACCATTCGGTGTGAATTCTGCTCCGGCAATTTTCCAGCGGGTGATCGACAACTTGGTGAAAGATATCCCAAATGATTGTGCTTACCTAGATGACATTCTGATTACCGGGCCGGATGAACACACACACATACAGGCACTAAAAACAGTTTTGACACGCCTCCGTGAGAACGGACAGATATTAAAAATTCGAAGTGCGAGT